ACACCACAGTATTTGAATTCAATTTATAGAAATACCACAAAATGTCATTTCCCCTTGATGTGATGAACCAGTTTTAATCAGTACTAGAGCTTCAGGTTCTCCCAATTAGCCTTGGAGCAAGATACTATAGTTGAAATTTAATTTTTGGTCATCTATATTTCATGGTCAGGCTGTTCACTTACAGAAATTGAAATCTGGCTTAAGTGACATGTGAGCATAGAAGCTAATCCGTGCCACCTGCGTGTTGGCCCAATGACACTGCTAGTGATTCTCTGCAGCTCAGTATTTAATCTGATAGCTTCCTAAGGTAAAAAGACAAGTCTTATATCAACACTGGCGAACTAACTGCACAATTAAGTAGCCAGAGTTAGATGCAAACAATATTTGAAGAAATTGGATGCTACCAACAAGGAGAAATGACAAAAATAACAGAAATCATGCTTCTGTTTTCTTGAGTAACACCAAATTTGGGGGACAATGAAAAAAATGTATGAAATCCTTTTTAATTGAGAGCAATGGAAAGCTGGGATCAGTAGCTTGGGAGAAGTGTCATTAGACAGTGCTGGAGAGCCTACCTCCTGGAATCCCTGACTTGAGTCTTGCTCATTACCATATGACATGCACATTATTTTTAGGGAAGCCATAATCAAATTAATCTAAAGGTTTAAAGTCAGTTCTGTAAAACACCAGTGGATTTACTGCTCCAGGGTACTCAGTTCTTGGCATCTGCTTAAAACATGACCTAACCTTTGAAATGAAATATCCATTAAAAGTTGCATCCTCCTCCACAAAGAGGAATACTACTGGAGAAAGTACTTTCAGAATTATAATAAAATATTGTGTACCATTTTATTCTCTTACCTATATTAGGAATAAATATTGTAAGTCATAAGGACAAAAGTATAATCCTACATTCAAATATCATCTAATAAAAATTTCATTCATGGTTAACTTATCTCTTTTGGAATACCAGATGTTTTTGATTCTGTATGTCAATTTATTTCAGGCTATAGCTCCATAAAAGCAAGATTACCTTATAATTTTGACTTGACACTGATTAGGATTTGTTGGAATATTTTAGTAATTTACTCTTCAAAAAGTCATTTGAAAGCTTCCCAAGGAACCAAATAAGCATAAAATTTATTTTACATATGCAGACCACACAGATGTATAGTCAAATGATTATTGATTATAATAATTTTAGAGTCATAAAAGTCCAGCAATGTCAGGCTGGACAAACACTGACTTGCCCATGTATCCATGCAGGGAACAATCTCATTTTCAAGGACAGTTTTCTTATGGATAGCAAGTGCAAAAATTTGTTAATTTAAATCACATTTAGGTTTTTTTTATTTACTTATTGTTTGGGAGAATGCTACTTCGTCATCCAATCCAAAATATACTTTTATTTTGAAAGCTCTGATTTTTAATAAGTGAGCCTTTTCAAATTCCATTTATCCAATTTGAGTTTTGGTGTAAGAATGAGGACCTGAACGCATACATCTGTCCTCTAGGACTCTACTCAAGTCCCGAGGACTAAGTTTATCAAACTCGTTATTAAAATTAGTCCTTGATCTCATGAAGTAGAATGCTATAAACCAAAAGCATAAGACACATCATTCAGTCTCAAAGAATTGTCCTGGGATTTTTTCCCTTTTATATTCTCACGTTAATTTCAAAAATAGCTTTGCTATTTCTTAACATTCCTATCAGTTCTTCAAAATTCCCAGATAGGAAACATAGAACGTAGACAATGTTTTTACTTTCCTTTAAATGTTAACAGGCTTAAAATTTCAGACAAATTTTAATGCTGTTATATTGCCTTAATTTTTAATGGAGTCTACAGTTGTTTCTGAAGACCAATTCAGTGTTTTCTGTCTTCTTCTATATCACCATTTATCAGTCTTCAGGATAATTCCCTTCGTGTATTATATTTGGGGATCCATCAGCTATTAAATTAATGAAAATTGGTTATTTAGAGGCCAAAAATTAACAGTATAAGAAAATTAAGGAATCCCTGACTTATAAACTTCCTTTCCCGTTCATGTTATGGACATAAGATAGGAATTCTGTTAACTATAAATTATGTTGATTTTCCCTGTACTGTACCCTCTCCGCACCTAACACAAGTTTTCTTACAAATAATTTGGTATTGCCTCATCTCCCACAACCTGGCTGACTCGGAAGCAGTCTTAGGGTTGTGTGGGCAGAGCTGGGACACAGGGAACGGGAGGCACTGGGCCAGCATCAGGGGACATTTCAGTGTGGGCAGGGGAACAAACCTGACAGTTGACACTGGAAAGATCACCGACATCACAGTTGGCTCAGTTGGCTCCATTAGTAAGACCTTACTGCGGGTCAAGTCCTCTTTCCTGGCCATGAAATTCGAGAACATGCCTTGTTTATAGAGTCTCTAACTTATAAAGTGATCGACTTTAACACAGACTAGCCCCAACTCTGGTTGAATCACCCCATTTTATGTTAAAAACAAGGGACAAGTTGTTTTCATCTGTTTATCAAAGAGAGCCAAAACAATCCTGAAAAAAAAAAAATAGGAAAAAGAGAGACTCTCTTCGAATACAGCTATCTCCAAGATGAGCCGCAGCTCGTCTGGGGATGAAAAGTTACAAGCTCACGGAGGTGGACTTATGGGAAAATATGACCAGGGCCTTGTCCATGCCCGAGGCTCTACAGCAATGCAGAAACAGCAGTGAGAGGACATTCACTCTAGCCAGCCTCCCAGAGCTTCGGAGCAGGCGGAGGACCCCAGTGTCCACTTCCAGCTCCTTGTGCAAAGCCAAACTGCACAGCGCTCGCGCTTTCCCTCTGTGGGGGCACACAGATGCGCTCAGAGCCGCCTGGCAGGCGTGGACATGGAGCAGCAGGATATCTGCTGATCTCAGGTCAACCACCATAATAGGCAAAGAAGCCACTTCCCAGATAGCAATAACCTGCTTAGCTGGAAGGCCGAGGGACACCGAGTCCTGGTCCACACACATCTTGCCCTGTCCAGGTTTCCCAGGCCTGCCAGGCTGTGGGAGAAGGCACTGGGTAGCAGCAATTTCTTCCCTTTGGCTGTACCCACAGAATGTGCAAGAGTGGTCACAACACGCTGCTCACCACTCTGCAAATAACCAGTCACGTGGCTGCTGCACGGACAGCCCCTTAACTTGACAGCAGTAACCTGCTGCCATTCTGAGCTGGGCCTCTGCCTTCCACAGCCCCGTATCCAGTTAGACAGTGGCAACTTTCCAAATTAAAAACTGCATTGATGGAGGTTTTTCTGACTCTTCTACGGTCTGTTGGTAGTAGCGACGTAGCTATTACCAATTTTAATAGTTGACAGCTAAACCACATACTTTAAGTCAGAGTCCTGTACAAAGTCACTTTGGATGAAGTATAAAAAGTAAAATCAGAAAGTATAATTGGAAAAAAATAAACAAATCAAAATCAAATCGTTAGAACATCACCTAAAGAAAACAATAAGTTTTGCTAAGGGCAAACAATCCCATTTTTTCCAATGTCAAAATTTATTTCTAATGAGCGTAGAAGACATTTGTTTTCTATTAGTGAGAACAACGGAGTCAACCAGCAAGACAAGCTAAACTTAATGGCCGATTTCAGAAGTCCAAAAAAGACGAGCACTACTCTCTTACATAGGATGAGTGTTGATCACTCAAGAAAGTGGTTTTATTTCCCCTTAGCAGAGCACTGTGGCTTCAGAAATAGCCCAAGACATTTGTCATTTCCTGAGTTCACACAGTACCCTGCCCCAGGACCAAGGACACACAGTACCCTGCCCCAGGACCAAGGACACATGTCCTTCCTCCCTCTTTCACTTCAAAATACACAGCATATCCCCAAGTCACAGCGGAAGGGGACGCAATGCCACCTTCAGTCCTGATGACCTCAGCCATTACTATAACCACAGTAGGTTCTCAATTGTTACAGAAATCAAACCCAACAAAACATGGCAACTCAGATTACCTAAGAGTAAATAATGCAACTAAAAACATGTAAGACTGTAGCATTATTTTCTAACCATAGAGTGTCTAAAGCTTTGTAAGGACGGAGCCTGAACAGGGGAAGGGCAAGCAGAGTCTTGTAAAAGAACACCCCCAATTATGACTGTGCAAATCCAGCCTCCTCTTCCCACAAGTTACCTGAGGCATAATAGCAAGTTTTTTTTTTTTTTTTAAATTGCAGGAAGTTCAGAGAAGACAGAAGTCCTTTTGCATGTGTTAGAAGATCCATGTCTCAAAATCTTCACATGGTTAATGTTATGACATGACATTCCTTTAAATTTTCGTGTTTATTGTAGATTATTCCTTATAAGAAAATTACCTCTGAAAAGGGCATTGGCCAAGGCTATCCTCATTCAGTGACAGCGGAGATATGGTAGTTTATTTTCATCCGAGGCACAAATTTGTCCAACATGTGTTGGATTTTTGTTTTAAAAGCATTAAATTTCAAATAAAGTATGCATGCTGTTGGCAAAGATTCTCTTGGAAATTTTATCTGGCAGACAGTAAAAATATTTATCCTCCCAAATTTTAAATAAGGCTAAACATGCACATATACTTGTGGATGAAAATAATTTCTGGAAATCCATTATTTCTTCATTCATGTATTTAATATCTGTTATGTGAACAGACCTTCTTAGTATGGACAATTGAAGGTACAGTTTTTATCCTGATAGAGGTCACAGGATAAAATATGCACGTGTAAAGTTTTGAAATCATTAGCAAATGCTGGCATGATGCACTGGCAAAGTAAACATGGGAATGCAAGCTAATAACCACTATTGGCCAGATTTAGAGTGCTTCTTCCTAACATTGCAAGATTTAACACACTTGGCTTGTCAGAGAGAATTGTTCATTGTTTTAGTATGAACAAAATTTCAAAGAAATATTTGGGCAATTCTTTCAAGAACCACTCCCAAATTTTCCTATCTCAAATATAGAAACAAAAGTGGTAAACATGTGGTATGTCTTGAACAGGTGGAGGGATGAAGTTTTGACACAAAAGTGGTCTCCCAGAAGAATCCTTTGCATTTGGTGACATCTGGATGAAGCAGGTACTCTCTTCAGCCCTTCCAATGTTACATTTACCCTTTCCACAGCTGATGGGTTAAATCCATTATTCCCATGACAGACAAGGAAATTGAGGCACAGTTAGATAAGTGGCTGGCCCCAAATCAGACTGCAACCTTCTGTATGCAAACGCTGAGCTCTCTGTGAACATTTTTCATCCCAGGAGGGTACACTTGTACACCTGAGCTACTTAGGTGTTTTCTAAGGGTATGCAGACATGGTGAGCTTGAAAGAAATCTATTTCCTGTTCTTCAGTTTATTATTCTATCCTAAAATTTGTCAGGTTGGAAGGCTGTGATGGATGTATCACTTTCCCAAATTGCTCTCGTGTTATCAGCTAAAGGAAAAGTGTTCCTCACACCTACCTGGTATCTTGCCAGAATGCACTGCCTCAGTAAATACCTTCAGGGAGCCAAACAGAAGGCATTTCAAAATAGTGGGGTGGATTTGAGAAATGATGTTTCTAAAATACTAGAAAATGAAGCCCCTGCCAATCAGGAGATTGGGTCCCTACTACCAGTACTTGTTGGGTTGTCAATCAAAGGTGTTACCAGGGAGTTTGCTAGAAATGCGAACTGTTGGCCCAGCCACTTGTGAAGATTACGATCCCCAGGTGACACCCATGCAGATTCAGGTTTCGGGCAGGAAGATTTACAGTTTGTCTTCAGGAAGGGAGTTCCGTTCTAGCTGTCAACAGCAGAACAACTTGAAATGCTCTAAGTCAACAAAATAATTGTCACGTAACATCCAAATTGTACCTTTTGAAAATCTATCATGAAAAATATCTGTGTCGTCTTAGAAGCATGAGGTGCTGTGTTGTTTTTCAAGTCATTTATGAATCTCACAAGAGGAATCCTGAAGATCGCTGCTCAAGACGAGCTTTCGCACTGCCCCAAAGAGCCACTCTAGGGCACAGCAAGGATGAGGACCAAGAAAATCGCCATCACCCTGGCAACAAAGCTCTCCAGATGTCTCACAGCGTTGATCATCTGGCCCAGTGATTCTCCGTCCCTGTCTACATGTCCATCATAAATGTATAAGGATATTTTTAAAAACCTGAGCCTGTGTCTCGCTGAACGCTGAACACAGGTGTGGGTTTAGACCACATCATCTGTGCTTCTGAAATTCTCTTCAGGGGACCCGACAGCAAGGAAGAAGATGGATCCCTCCTGGGATCCTCCTAGTATCTGGTTTGGGAAGCGATCAGGCACGATCAGAGCTCCCCTCCCAGAACTGGAGAATCCACCTCAGGTGGACATCTACATTTCCACAAACCATCCTCAGGTGCTACAGAACTCCTTCAGGAAGCGGAGCTTGGTTAATTAGAAGGATGGACATGACGTAATTCTACGGAAGAACAGGTTACAGTGTTGAGGGGAAACTGCTGTTTTGGAAACAGATGATTGGGCATCTGGATGGAAGAATCAAGCTGGATAGATGGTTTGGGTTTCAGCTATTTGCGGATACATAAGTTTCAGGTCTCTCACAGTATTTAGTATCTGAAGGGGTCATCGCCTAAGCAGCAGACAGACCTAAACACCCAGTTCTGCTGCCCCGGCATCAGGGCTCCAGAGTCAACAGTCGAGCCTGCGTTCGTCTTGGGAACCTCAAGGAATACTTTAACCCCATAGTGCATTCCCCACACTACACCGCGGCAGGCCTCTCGGGTGCCAACTCGCCAACCCCACTGCCGACACATCCCCGTGGGGCCAGCTCCTACGCCCTGTTTGCCTCAGGCTTCCCTCTTCTCACCCAGGCCTTCCATCGTCTCTCCCTGCCCCCATGCCCTCTTCTTGCTGTCACTCGGCCTTTTAAGGTCATGGCGACCTACGACTTACAAATGTGGTGTTTCCCTAGTAGCTTCAGGAAGTTCACATCTCCACCACAGTGAGGGAGATTTCCCACCCCTGTGGATGAAACACCCCAGTATCCGACACCAGAACGAAGAGGATGAGCACTTCACACCTCTGTTCTAGATCAGGCAAGCACAGCTTTGTGTTTGGTTTTTAAGATGAAAAAGAGAATATCACTTCCTTGGAGCATTTTTTAAAATGAGGAAGTTTAAAAACCCATGTCAAGGATTTATTATCACTGCATGCTAAAGGTAGATGAGGACTGCTTAGTCGCAATTAAACTAAGATGTTTTTGTTTAGTTAGATGTATTTTCTATTTAGTTCGACCCTGCAGAATCTAGACCCTTGGATCTACATTGATGTCTTAAAATAACTTGCCAGAACAGGGATAATGGTAGTGGATTGTACATTTCAAAAAGCTGTAAGAACAGATTGAGACTTTTCACCATGAAGAGACGTTTGAGGACCTGGATCCGTTTAGGCCGACTTAAACAGCAGACCAAGTGCACACACCCCAGCATTATGAGGTATTCCACCAACATGGGCCATTCCCGTGCTTCTACGGATCAAAGAAAATTATTTTATCTCATTGAGGTGAATTTCATTCATCTGAATGAGATTTTTACTTCTCTTCTGATGCGTACAC